AAAGGAACTTATCGGCATTGTTCCTTACCACAGGAAGGTTTTTACCGGCTAAAAAATCTTTCCGAGAAGCTTTTGTCAGCCAAAATCGCGTACCGGATCGAGCAGTATCAGCCAAAAGTTCATGTCGTGGGAAAACTGTTTAATCGGCTAAAATGCTGTACCGCGGTACATGAAACTCGGTCAAAACGTGTACCGCGGTACATGCTTCCCGGCCAAAAGTCTTCTGTGCCGATACGCCTTAGAGATCGTGTTACTGGAAGGTCTTGCCGTCTTATTCAGCTTTCAGAGTCTTCATTGGAAATCAATATAATTGAGTCACGGTTTCAAGACAGTTTGAATCAATGAATTTGGAGCAGTGAGATGAAAGCGATGTCCAACAAGAGACGAACCTGTCTTGCATTCATTCTGAACCGATCCAATACACCTCAGAGGTGATCCAGGACGAAGGCCTTCCAATCTGAACCACTCTCCGGTGTCTCCAGAAAAGTTTGAGATCTTTTTGTCTAGTTTCCAGAACACTTAGATTCAGGATATTTGGAGCTGCGATCTGGGAGATAACGTAAACGGAGAAAGCACAAGTCCAGAAACCAATCCGAATCAGTGCAATGCTCTTTAAAGATGTCGTTACCGGAAAGCATTGCCGACCTCAGATAGAGTTGGGTTCTTTACCAAAGTTTGAGAGGGTTGAGGGATCTATCATGTGGACTTTGTTTCAAGTCATTTGGAGCTGTGAGATAAAAGTTACTGGGAGCAGAAGACAAGCATATCATTCCATATTCAAGAGATGCATCTGGTGCTAAGTGTTTTCCTACCCCTCGGTGTGACCCCCTCGACATGTCTCATCCAAGGCCTATTTACAAAACTTTTGGGGTTTCCCTCAGTCTGACCCTTCTGTCATACAACACCGAGGCATGCTTTTTTGAGAACACTAGTCTCAAAACGACTAAGTATCAAACTGAGGGCATCAAAGAGGTTTTATCTGAATTGTGCTAAGTGTTGGATCCAGCCTCGACATGGACCCCTTGGCATAACTACCCCGAGGCCCTCTTGAACATGATCCCTCGGTATGAACCCCTCGGCCTGGAGACACCAAGGCATGTCTTGCACGAACAAAATGATTAATATATACCTCGATGTGATCCCTCGGCCTGTTCTACACCGAGGCACTCCTACACGAGTGAAATGTGCAAGATCTCGGCCTGACCCCTCGGTGTGCATGACCCCGAGGCCTCCTGTCATGAAACCAGATTTCAAACAAGCTTGCTTCACGTTCAAAGACCTTAACCGAATCAAAGCCAGAGTTCAGTCACGTTCTTGAGATGTTCTTCACACTTCAACCCAGTTTCAAGACCCCTCAGTGTGACCCCTCGGTATGGCTGTTCTTCAGGACCCGAGGCATGGCTCCAGCAACCCAAGAAAACCGGGTCAGTACCCAGTTTGTCTTGGGTTGACCTGGTTCGTTGACCTCATTTATAAATAGTTTTTGGGACCAAAAAACCCCTACTTATCCTTTATCCTCTTTTAGAACTTGCCTCTTTTGTGAAAAACCCATATTTTGTTAAGAGATACCTTTGATTTAATCAGATTTAAAGCTATTTATTGCAATCTTATCATCTCTTTTCAGCATTCAAAAATTGTAATCATGATTAACAACACATCTTGCAAAGGATTAAGTGTGTTGATCATGATTAGTGAGTAGTCTTTTCATAAAGTCTCTTAGATATGTAGATAGGGTGCAAAGGTGTTTGATTAGAGAGTTTAGGAGTAAGATCATGCATTTTCCTTTCTCTAATTTGCTATTTTTAAAGCTAGATCTCTGATAATTACTTTGGTCTAGATCATAGGCATTTCACCACCCAAAATGTGTTTGATGAAATGCCTGAACCAGCTAATTAGAGGTTTATGCTTTATGTATCATGAGAATTATTGTTTAATGCATAAATGACATATTAGAGCTGATTAATAATGTTTACTAATTCATATTTCACAAATGAGAATTTGGTATGAAAATGGATTAGTATAGAGATTAATACCTTTATGAGAGGATTAGTCTACATTTGAGTTATAAGTTGATTAGATTTGCTTGATTGTTTGTCATTAGCTCTCTAGATTAGCACTAATGCACCCTGATCAACTATCATGTCTAGGACCTTGCTTTTATCATATTCATATCATCATCATCTTGCCTTTGTTTGCTTGTTTACCTTTTTAATCTTGTTTAAATCTTGTTTAAATCTTGTTTAAATCTTGTTTAAATCTTGTTTAGCTTTCATTTGTTACTTGTTACAGAACCAAAACTCATTTGCTTGCTTGGATTAAGTTTAAATTCATGCATTCTGGTACCTAGATATTGGATTTGACACCCTTTGTACTATAATAGACAAGGGGAATTGAACCCTAAGAGCCTTGAAGACTCTTGTTTCACATCGTTAGTGGACAAGACACGCTGTAGTCAGAACAGACTGGTGTGTACAACTTCGGAAAAAAACAAATCTCACAACAGATCTGGATGATTTTTGACTAAACCTTCACTCAATGCAACTTCATCCAACCAGTACACCACCACCACAGAACTAAGAAAAAACAAAAAGGATAAACAAGAAGGAAAAGATCGGCGTTGGCACACCGCCGCACACCGGTCGCCGGAGCTCAGAAGAACGAAGTCGAAGAAGATGAGATAAGGTGGAAAGAAATCGTTCGTTTCGATTTCAGTTCATCTGAAAAAAAATTGGTTCATTTTAAGTGAATTTCAACACATAAGCGAACCTCGTTTAGAAATGATACCATAAACAAAACGCTCTGCAACTCGCCGAGAAGTCGACATGTCAGAAAATTACTACACAAATAGTGGTCTAAATAACATAAGTTACAAAAAAATTTTTGCAGCTATAAAAGTTGATTTCTTATATAGTTGTATATAGTTGATTTGATTTTTTTCTTTCAAATTTAATAGTGTCTAATTTCTCAAGTTTTGCAATTTTACAGATTAATTCTCTAATTTAATTTTACAGATAATTTTTTCAATTATATTAACTTCACGAAATTGGACTTATAAAAAGCCAACGCTAATATCTTTGTTTTTTTAGTTAACGTGGAGTTTTCTTGTACCTTAATTTACGAAGTCAACGTTAACTTGAGATTTAAAGTGCGCACTCAATTGTTAGGGAATAAAATTTACTTACTTTAAATACTTCAAACCACAACTCAGATGCAAATATCTTGGATGAAACAGGAGCAACGGAAATGGTCATAGACCGGTGCATAAGACTTGACCCATGTTCAAAATTTCGCTAGGCGCTAGTCGGGCAGTCGGGTAGCACCTAGCGCCTAATCAATAAATTAAAGATTAGTCAGGGATTAGTCGGGATTAATTTAGGGCTTTTATCTAAGTTTAATAGTAATATATTATATATCGTTGTCAAGTTTGTAAAATAATGCTTTGGTGTAGTGGTTGAAGCGTGTTTATTCTCCAAGTATCATGAGTTCGGCGCCCCAGGATGCTAACTTTTGTGTTTTTCTCACTTTATTCTAAAGAAGGGGTAAGGTAAAATGTCCCACATCGACCAAAATGAGTAAATGTGAAGTTTAAGATCTTCTATATATAATACTACGCTTCGGCTGGTGGGGTTTAAACGATTAGGCTTGGGAATACCCATTAAAAAGTTAAAATTTACATCTTATTAATTGGTAATCGTTCGATTAATCGTTGACCAAACTGACTAATCGATGGTCCGGGTAGGTTATCCGATTGTCCGGTTAGGTTATCCGATTACAGTGTAATCGCAGCGGCAGTGGTCCGTCGGGCGCCTAATCGGTCGATTAATCGGCCACATGGGACTTGACTACTTCTTATACTTTCTTTTTAATTGATAAAGCTTATCTCTAAAAAACAACTTGGTTTATAGTAAAATTGAATTTCTGGTTGAACTTTTAACTATATAAACTTTTTCCCAAGTGTTGTAGGATGTTTTAAACAGTAATGGCAATTTCTTGATCATATAACTCAAGAAATATTCTTTCTTGACTAATAGTTAAACTGAAATCGTCTTCGTTTTAAAAATTCCAAAAATATTGACATATTTATTTTTCACTAAAACTTTAACTACACTAGTACTTAAAAAAAAAAATTACCTTTGTAAATGTTTCCATGTAACAAGTGGTATATGTTGTAGGGTGTTTTAAATGATAATCATTTATGGCAATTACTTGATCATATAGCTCAAGAAATATTTTTTCCTGATTAGGAATTAAATTGAAATTGTCCTCGCTTTACAAATTTCAAAAATATTCAATTGTTTACTACTTTAAAAATAAAAATAAAACTTTACCGTTTTCGAGTAACAATTGGTATATGCTTGAGAATTTGTGGTGTTGACGATTATATGTCATATCTACAAGTTTTTTAAAAGATATTAGTTTTTATCACATATTATTTGTAAATATGTATGAAAGAAACAAAAAAGATAATATATAAATTTTTATATTTTGATCAAAACTACATTATCACATCATAGTGAAGTTTCAATCATACGAAAACTTTAAGAAAGAGTGAATAAATTTCTTATATTAATTTATATATTCATTTATATTATTAAAATAATATAATATTGTAATTAAACATTAGTGATATAATTATCCTAATCACGGATTTCACTAGATTTTAGAATTTTTGGTTAGTATGAAATTAATTTTAATTAGTTTTGTACGTACTATCACATAAACCTCAAATACTATTCTTTCAAGATATTAAAGATTTCATTATTCATTGAAAGATAACTAATTCAAAATACATCTAGTATATAACTCATAAAACACTATATATTTTTATTTTTTCTGGCCTGCCTTAATTACTTTAAAGAAAAAGAAAATATATAGGCTTTTAGAATCCCATAGAACGATGTAAGAATATATATATATATATATTTTTGATGATATGTGAAATTCATTGATCATCAAAGAAATATGTACAAAAGAGTTTGTAAGAATATGTTTAAAAAAATAAAAAAAAAATTACAGAACTTTCCAACGTGAAAAACAATGTGGAATACCCTCAATAGAATGTATGAAGAAATCGAACTTATCCAGAACCTTCAAACCATTTTTGCATGAGACCATAGAGTCTGGATTTGTTTGATAATCGAGGGAAGATTTCCGGTTGCAGATGAGCTTGTCAATACGCTGGGTCAGCTGATTAACATCACAATAACGAGAATTATGGATTCGACCATTATGCTGTCTCCAAATCTAGTAGATGGTTGCTTCAAAAGTAAGCCTTACAAACATTGAACAATTCTGATTTCCAGTATAATCAACAATACTTTTAAAAGTATCTGCCCAATCAGGATATTGGCGATTTCGGAGAAGTTTCTCAGCGACATTAGTTCACACAGTAAAAGAGTATGGACAAACGAAGAAAATGTGATCTCGTGTCTCATTTGGCTCACCACACACAACACAAAAGGCTGATGTGCTTGCCACCTTCACACTGCATTCCCTGTAGAAAGTCTATTCTGAATCTCAAACCATGTAATGAATCTACAGCAAGGGATACCCTGAGAAAACCAAACTTCTCGCCACCAGTCAACAGTCTGATGTTGCTATCCTAGATGATTCCAAGTGTGATAGGAGGAGAATCCATAGTGTTGTGACGCCATAGAAAAGCATTCAGGTCTACTAGTTCGAATTGGCAATGGTTGAGCATTGATGAGTTCCATAATCAGATGAAGATGTTGAAGTATGGTGCCATTCAGATTCCAACCATTTGTACCGACTGCATAGATGACTGAATTATGAAAATGTTTGATTTGTTGAGATGTATATAAGACTATCTGCATTGGGGGTCTCTCATCTAGTGTCAAATATTTAAAATAAATGAAAAATAATATAAAATATTTTCTTAACCAGAATTGTTGAGAACGTCTCTCATATGAGAGACTATCAAAACCTCTTAAAAACCTCACACATGGAACACATGTCTCTTTATGAGTAACACATATTTTATTCTAATAATTTAAATTTTCTATGGTGTAGATAGTTGATTAAATCATTTATATGTTATTTTTTTTACTTTTTATAAATTATAAAAAAATTATCTATCTAATAAACTCCATTATGCATGAGTTTAAATTATATATATTAATATTTTTTAATTAATAATAGTTAAAATTAATAGAATAATATTAAATTAATATTTTTTAGTTAAAAATATAATATGAAGTATTAGAAAAAGATTTTAAGATTTTTAAAAAAATATTGAGATTATTAAAATTATATAAAATTATTTTTTTCTATATAAGACTCATCTCTTCATCTTTTCATTCACCATAATATTTTTTCTTTTTTCTTTTCCTTCACTTAATTAGTTTATAGATTCAAACAATCCATTTTATTTCTCGAAAAATTTTATGGATTTTTTTTGTACTCAATAAGAAGAGAATTCTACAAATCTTCTTCCTCTAGTTTCAACCTTAGACTATATGCAATGGTGTGTTAAATAAATATATTCAATAATTGACTACAAGTAATTGAGTGTTGGAAAAAAAAGAATGAGGTGAATTTATTTGTGTTGAATTTTTTCAACTGGTTGAAAACCGAAAAGCACATATAAAAATGACACATGTCATTAACTGGTTGGGCGAGAAAAAAATTAGTTAATATATAGATAAAGACATGTGTGCTATTTCTATTAGATGCTGAGATTCTTGATAATTGTTTTTGAATCATTTGAGGTCAATTATTTTATCAAAAATTATATTTTATTTCAATTTTTATACCAAAATTCATCATTTTTTATACTTTATAAATAGAGACTTGTTTCACTTAATTTGGACACAGAAAAAAGGTCCTATATTTTTCTTATTAATTTCAAATAATCTCTTATTTAATTTTGTACCCCTCTTTTTAATAAAATGGATCCAAATAATAATTCTTTTAGTTCCAAAAACTCTTCTAATTATCCTTTTAACTACCCAAATCCTAACAATTATAAATCAATTTTCCAACTAACCCCAAAATATACCAATTGATTGCATGCATTGGAAATGAAAAAAATACCCTACAACCTAGGAAGGTCAATTTACTTGGGAAGATAAGGGAACCACCACTGTTATTCTTGAAGCAGTTGCATCATATAACCATCATATGACCTATGGATCTGACATGCCTTTTTGGATGCCCAGACACCTTGAACGATATAAACGTTCTAGACCGTTCACCAGTGTTCGATGATGTTTAAAAAGGAAACACTTCAAGAGTAAAGTTTTTCGTGAACCAACGTCCGTATAATATGGCATACTATCTAGCTGACGGTATTTATCCTTCTTATCCGACTTTCGTCAAATCAATTAGACTTCCTCAGAGTAAACCAAATAATTTATTTGCACAACTCCAGGAAGGATGTCGGAAGGACATCAAACGTGCATTTGGAGTGTTGAAGATGGACATGATATAACTGATTTAGCTATTATTATGAGGTCATGTATCATGAAGATGGACATAATATGATTGTTGAGGATGGATGAGATACATATGCTCAAAATTGGACTGATTATGATCAGTCTGAGGCAAGTGGGTCTACTACACCACAACTATTCTCGACCGAGGTGTTACCTGCATTTTCAAATCATGTGTATGCTAGATCCGAGTTGCATGATTTAAATGTACATCACGAATTGCAAGCAGATCTGGTCAAACACATATGGACAAAATTCAGAATGTTCCATGATTAAAGAGATATTCAAGTCTTTGTGTGTGATTTAAGAATTTTACTAGGTGATTACTCACATCATGGGCGGAGTTAATATTAACCATAATTCTTTTATTTGAATATATAAATATAATAAATATGAATATAACTACAAAAATGTTAGCTGATATTTATAATTGTAAATAAATATGCTAATTATACAATTGTAAATAATGATTAAAGTTTGTAATACAATTGCATAAATGTTAGATAATTATTGGTTTTATAATTAATTTTAATAGTATTTTTTATATAAATGAAAAGGCACAATAAATATACTAAATTGGATTAATATGTTCTATCTAACTGGTCTAACATCAAACTAAGATACTTTGCTTTTATATAAAAAAATTGGAATTATAATATGTATAAAAAATTTAAATATGATTAATTTTTTTTTAACAAAATTAAGATTAAAGAAAATGAGATAAAAAAATATAATGTTTAGTAACATACGTAATATTATGTATTAAATTTTTATAAATATGTTACTAAAAAATAGAAAGGGAGAGAATATCTTTACAAATTAAATGCTTGAGTATTGAATATATAATTGATATAAAATAATCTCTAACTAAATTAATGTTACTGACATATGATGCAATTAATCTAGTAACTTGAGCCTAATTTTAAAAAATCCCTTAGAAACTCTCTAAGATTGACACCTCAGCATGTCAAAGTTGTTAATAATACATGACATAAACATTCATTTTTAAGTATCTTTCTCAAATAATAATAGAAGATTATGTGTGTTTTAAGTTATGTGTGTTTTATTTAGCTTTGTCGTCTGCTTGTAATTTAGAAGATTATGTGTGTTTTTTTAGTCTATTGTAAATTTTAAGTTATGTGTGTTTTATTTAGCTGTGTCGTCTGCTGATTCATTTATTGTACTGCATTTTGGGGTTTTATAATTTTATTTGTTTTAATTATAATTATTTCTATTTTCTTTTTTTTTTAATTAAAAATGTAGTTAAATGTAAAATGAAAAATATTTATTTTTAATTTTAAGTATTTAATTTAATTTTATTGAGAATTATTTTTAATTTATACTATAAAATCATAAAAGATAATAAAAATATAAAGTAAAAGTAGTGGGGTAGAGTGTTGAATTTTTATTGAACAAAACCATTGTAAATATAAAAGTTGAAATGTGTGTTGAATTATTAGGTGGAAGAGAGAGAAGATGATGTGGAGTGTCAATGAATTAGTGGCCAATCTGAAGATGATGTTGTCAAAGTTGTGTATCAAATCTAATAAGACGATTACTAGAGTAACGTCACACTTGAGAATGCTTGAAGGGAGCTCTGACATGATCAAAAATGGTGTGATTTTTACAACTCTCAAAGCTCTAAGTGTGGTGAAAGCTCAAAAAGAACAAAGTTGAATAAAGCTGGTGTATATTTTTCAAGCTCTTACCCTGAAATCCTATATATGTAGATGTAGAGAAAAATGCTATGGTTCGTCTCCTTGGTGTGATGTCATCAAGTCTCAACGGAAAGAGAGTTGCTACGAAGACAACATATGGGGAAACTAATTCTAGTTCAAGGCCTGAGAATTTGTGGGTGCTAAAGGAAAAAGGCATAGCAGACCAAAATAAAATATCAAAGATGAAAGTGCTTAAGAGTTTTCTTGCAAAAACCAAACCACTCTCCAAAAAAAGAAGAAACTTATAGGAACAAGCTCAAAGATGAAATGCTCTAGTCTTGAGGCATTAATTAATGTAATATTAAATAATTTGTTGGTTTGTCTTGATTTTATTTTATAATTTGAATACTTTAATCTAGTACAAATGAGTTTTCCATTTCTTCTATGATATTTTTTTTTAAATTTATTTCTTGAATATCAGATTTTTATTTTGTGGGTATGTTTAATTTGTTATATTAACACCTTCACATATTTGAACAAAATATTATACAAAAGTGTATGGTAATTAATGTATCAACAAATAGTGGATTTTTCATGACAAAAAAAATTTGGCATAACACAAGCTATAGAAGCTAATCCACATTTGCTTTGATCATTATAATGTATTTTTACTTATTATTAATAATATTCGGATTTTTTCCAACTATTAACATTATCTTTACAATTTTATAGCAACCAAACCACATCCATTTTCAACTTAATTAATTAAAACTCTAATACACAGTATTTCAGCAACTAAAATTTAAAGCCTGGATCTATCCATTTTACATCTATTTCTTTTTTAAATCTAATATACAGTGAACACCATATCTTTTTTCAAAACCTAATACTTTTAAAAACCAATATGTATTCAATATTTTTATAACAAGTAAAGAAAGATGATGAATTCTCCTTGAGGGATCATTGTAATTATGTGGTTATATAAAGCCAAAAAGTTGAATAAAATCAGAGATATATAAACAATATTAATAGAATATCTAAACAAATAGGAACCAAATATCCTATATTCTATTACTCCCCTCAGTTGAAGTATTGGGAGTTTGGGACTGTAGACGGTTAAACTGGATCAGAACTCATTGAATAGCGATGTCGGCAATCCCTTCGTGAATATATCTGCATATTGAAGTGACGAGGGGACATGAAATACTTTACTTTCTCCAATTGCCACATTTTCACGAATAAAGTGAATGTTGAGTTCAGTATGTTTCGTTCACTGGTGCTTAACTGGATTGTTAAGAAGGTAGACAAAGCTTATATTTTTGCAATACTAATGCGAGCTAGGGTTGATGCCGCATGAGAAGTTTTAAATTTATAAAAGCTTAGTGTCCAGCAGTGCGATATAATACTTAGGGTGTCGATTGATGGGCTTGCGGGGCTAGGATTTGTTTTTAACAAGCCCGTTGGTCTTTCAAAAAATTTTAAATTTATAAAATCCTAGTGTCTGCAAGTGCATAGATGTACATTGTAGGACTTAGGGTGTCGATCCACAGGGAGGATGTCTAATTTACGAGAAACAACAAGCTGGGAAATTAAGCAAAGTCATAAACTAATGGGAATTTGAGATTTTTGGTTGAGAATCCTAAACTAAACCTAATCTAATATTCACATAAATAAGATGTAATGCAGGATGATTTGTTAAAAAAATATCTCAAGCATATCGACTCAAACTATAGACGCTAAACTCATAGGTGGCGATTTAAACTTCTCTGGTTTACTCTAATCAATGTATGATGTCATTTCCAATTAGCTTTCGAGCAATTTATCTTCATCTGTTTCTGGGATCTGCATGAAACTATAATAGACATATGTATGATTAACCAACTCTTGCCATCTTAATCAACTAATCACTCAGATCTGACTATTAACTCTCGCTCTCTTGCCAGAAATAAGATCAGGCATTAGACATTGAATTCGTCTGCTCACATCTTCTCTATAGGTAGTTCTCGACTCCTATAGAGACTATGTTCTTCTGAAGCTAGGTATGGATGATCTGATATAACACTCTTGTGGCTCTGATCGATCCTAGGCTCAGAGAATAGGTCATGAATCTACTCTCATGCAATATGAACAACTTAGAAGAGATGAGATCCAGAATATGGTCTAGAAACTTAGAAATCCTAATCGATATGTGTGCCTATCAAAATCTTCAAACAACTTGACTCTCTGAGACTAATCTACATGATGCAAGGAATGATAAAAGACATAGAATACAAACGAATGAAACAGAAAAGTTAATAAGATAAAAAAGGAGAAAGAACAATGGATCTGGGGAAGAATCCCCATCTCCATCACCTAACCCTAGAAAACAAAGTTTGGTGGCTCAAAATCTCATTACAGGAGCACACACCCGTTTTGGACTGCTAAGAAATGTATTTATAGGTCCTAGGGTCTTCTAGGTCTCATTTAGGGCTTCTGTGAAGAGGAATGGCGAAGTGGGCGTTAATGTTGGGCTTTGAGGCTTGTCCTTAGGTCCACCGGGGGTGAGAGTCTTCCAGGACAGATAAAACATGGTTTTTCCGCGGGTGAGAGTCTTCCGGGACTGGTGAATTGGATCATATTTTTCTCCATGTAAGGCCCCAAGCCACTCAGTTTGACCAGGAATGCTGCAAACAGAATAATCATGAATAAGAAGAGCAAGCGGTAAACGCGAAGTAGGTCCCCGGCCGTCCTAGATTGTACCTAACTACTGGAATAGATCTTCTGTTCTTCTTTGCTTAACACATAGAAGTTCGTTCTTGCCGGTGGGGAAAATAGCCTAAAAGTCACGCAGCCTGGCACTCTTAGTCCCAGAACTAACAATCTCAGAATCTGATTGCACCATTGGATCTTTGTGATGTAAAGTGCTATGGAAAGTGGTTGTCTCCTCTTGATTTTTTCCAAATTTGAGCTGGATCAGACGGTGAGAAAGTTTTCATTCGAGGCTGAACTTCTGACGGTCTGACTCTAAGCTGAAAAAGTGGATTTCTTCTATTTTGCCATCATTTTCCCTAAGTTTCCTAAAAAGAGCCTTGAAACTACAAATACATGAAAATCATAATAAAATTTCGTAAAACTGATTAAAACATTTGAAAAATCATTTGAAATCAATGGTGAAAATGGGTACAAATACGGTGTTATCAACTCCCCTAGACTTAAGT